CCCCCCCACTGGAGTCAGCCAGGGTCACCAGGTGGGCGGAACAGCAGAGGTAGGATTTCTGCAGCTCACAGTACCCACTCTGTGGCCAAACAAAGGCCTCCGCTTCCAAGCAATGTCTGACTTCTCAACTCTGACATATGTATTTACCCAGCAATTACAACTTAAACTACCAAAGGGGAGGTTTAATCACTTATATCAAAGGGAATAAATTAAAGCTTCCCTGGATCCCATAGCAAAAAAAACTCGGGTAGCCGCTGCACTACAAGAGGCTGTTCATTCACCAGCACATCCAGCTGTTTCCCAGGGACCTTCGCTGTTTTGTAACCAACACAGGACGCTCTGAGCCCAAATTATAGTTCAGAAATCTAATGATAAGTGAGCTGAGCAAGACCTTGAGTTCCTTCGAATGTTACAAAACTTGAAAATACCGTTTTCCAGTTTCATAATCTAGTGGTAAGCCCCAGTGATTTTACTTGACAGCATCGAAAAACAGAACTATCTTGAGAAGAGAGAGATGGAAATTTGAAATATTAAATTTCAGTGCATTTAGGGGCAAATAAACTCTTACCTACCCTCATACACTGAGGGCAGCATTGTAAAAAGGTAAAAACACTCTGGGAAACTGGCTGTCTGTCAAAACGGAAATATACCCCATGACTCAGCAATTCCACTCCTAGGGTGTGCACTCAGCAGAAGTGGGAGAGTATACATAAGCCCCAGGAGACAGGTAGAAGATGTCGATTTCATCAGCAATTCAGCCACCCCAGAAACAGCCCAGCGTCTCGTGAGCAGAATGAAGTGCTGTACTATAAAGATAGAATCAGAGCAACGTGGATGAATCTCAGGGAATGCCGAAAGAAGCCAGACATAAAAGGGCACATGCCCTAGGACACCATTTACATGAAGTTCAGTACCAGGCTATGCCAGCCCATGCTGACAGAAGTGAGGATATGGTTGCTGTTGGGCTATAAATAGTCCATGGTCAGATTTAGCACAGGTGTGTGCACTTTCTGAGTTGTGTATTTAGGTTTACACACTTTTCTATATATATACTTCAATAAAAAGTTTACTTTAGAAAAATGAACTGTATGACTGTATCTTTGTCTTGAAAAATGGTTACACATCAACTGTAAACTAGAGTGTCACCTCAGAACTGAAGTGGATTTCTTCTTTACCATGCTGCCATGCTGCTGGCCTGGTCTGGTTACTGTGGGTCCTCTTGCTGCAGCCCAGGCACTTGGAGAGCCATGTGCCAGAAAGGCAAGGTGTCGGGAGACAGGCCTCTCCTCAGAGCCAGCACCGCAGACAGTCCATGGTAAACACCAGTCTGGGCGCACTTCATGCACGTGAAGAAGAAACATTTTCAGACACCTCCTATGGGCCAGATACCTTGTGTACATTAATTTAATTTCACTCTAGCTACCTTAGGAAGTCAGCGTAATAGACAAAAAACCTGAGACTCAGGGAGGCTACATAACCTGCCCAAGAGACGCCCTTGGCTATGAAGACACAAAGTCAGACTCAAGGTCAAGTCTTGTCATGGTACGTGGAGCCCTGTTCAGAGCATATTACCACCTGCTGTCTCCCACGTGGGCATGGGTGGAAGTCTGTAAAAGTGGGTAGAGTGGCAGGAAGAAGAGAAAGATTTCCCAATACAGCAAGTAGGTAAGAAATACCTTTCAAGAATCAGTCCAGGGGACTTTACCTAATGCCCTCCATCCCCACCCCACGCGGAATGACTCCTTCCCTCTCTGGTGCACACTTCAACCATGCACCTCCATGATGTTTTGCTTTGCTTGCCCTCAGGGTGGTTTGTCCCCTCTTCCTAAAGACAACATGAGCCCGCCTGGGGCATTCTGGAATCACCTTCCCTGTGATGGAGCATGGGTTCAAGAGCAAGAGGGTAAAACTGAAGAATCGCAGGCACAGGCTACTGGAGGGTTCAGGACAATATAGTTTATTTTCTCATAAAAGGTCTACCAAAAATATATATTTTCTTACAAGAAAGCAAAATTTGAGGAGTTACTCATTATGTTTTACAAACAGCAGTGAAAGGAAGAAATCAACAGAATGGACTGTTTATAAATATAAAATGTTCATTTCAGAAGTTTGACTTTGTCCTTCAGTAACTGGAAGGCGGGGTTCTTGCTGACTTTCTTGTTGAAGATGCCCAGAAGTTCCTCCTCCGACCTGTGGTGTTCGTCTGTCACAGCGTAATACTGAGCTAGGACCTTCACAGAGAAGAACAGCTGTCAAATGAGGGCAACTGTCCCGAAAATGTTCCTAAAATGTTCTTTAATCCAGAAGTAGGGCAACAGTAAGAAAGAAAAGAACTCCAGGTGCTGGCTACACAGGTTTTCTGCTTGTAGAAATCCATGCAGTGGCATGTGAGCACCTGGCTGCACGTGAGTCAGACATCGAAGAAAAGTTAAAAACCAGAAAGAGAAGAAACCACTGCTCTAGAATAATTAAAAGATAGCAAACTATAAGAAAAATTTCTTTTTAATATATCTTTGTTGATTTCAGAGAGAGGAAGGGAGAGAGAGAGAGAAATATCAATGATGAGAGAGTCATTGATCGGCTGCCTCCTGCAAGCCCCCTGCTAGGGATGGAGCCCGCAACCTGGGCATGTGCCCTGATCAGGAACCAAACTGCGATCTCCTGAATCCTAGGTCAATGCTCAACCGCTGAGCCATGCTGGCCAAGCAAGAACAATTTCAAAGTCATACGTGTACTGCTCTGTCTGAGGAGTGATGGGAGTCGGCCCTTTCCCACCCCACGAGCCGAGGGGTCACCGGAGCACCATGGAAGTCACTGAGACACACATTTATGAGTTTAAGTATTTAAAATAACCGAGTCTCCCCAGCTTACATAGCTAAGTTATGCACCATACCTTTTTCCTTAGCTTTTTTATTGCGATTTCATTGTCCGGGGCCTGCTTCAGAACTGCTTTAATAGTTCCCTTCCAATTGAATTTACCTGCAATATAAAGAATAACATGCGAGATGTTTTGCTGCACTATCAGGAGGGAAAAGAAATGATTTCTGCAACATCTACTTGCTGCTGGGGAAATACGGGCAGGATACCATGATACTATGTAGCAGGCACTTGACCTGCCCAGTCAGTGGCCTAGAAGCACCGCTACCCTTCACCGTCCTGGTCTCAGAGTGAGCAGGTTAACTAAGCATCATAAACACCATCACCACTACAATCCTGTAGAAAGAGCTGCATCGGACGACCTCAGCAAGACTCCTTAGGAGCCACTAAGATCATGGGCTTTCTAAGCACAGTAAGCAAGACAGAGATGAGCAAAAGGAGCTTAACCTTGAGCCACAGGACAGCCACAAACATTACCACACAGAGGCAAAGACTCGTTCTACAGCTTCAGGTGAATCTATAATTACCTCAAGACAAATAATTTGTAAAAAGCCTCATACATATAAAGTTGGGGGTTAGGTTCCAAGCTAAGAGATCCAACCAACTTGGGCAGTCCCTGACCCTGATTAATAAAGCCTCAATTCCCACTTGAGTCCTTGGACCTCTTCTTAACTGGCAGGACCCCAGGGGATGCTTCAGGGCTGAGGAGGCAGCGCTGAAGAAACTTAACGGCCAGGGACTGGATCCTGACAGTACACGCTCTAGCTGAGGGAGCGGGCCATGGAGTTCCAGCAAGGAGACAGCAGTGACAGACCCAGAGATAAGGGGAACAGCCAGGTGTGGTTGGAAGAAAGGAAGGGAACCAGGTCATGGAAAGCATGCTGGGTTTACTTTAAATTCCAAAGATAATGCATCCAATCCAGACTGCTTTCCCCTCTATCCTTAAGCCAGACACATGGCTCTCACCTAGTTCTCATGGTTACTCTGGAGTCACACCCTGGAGAACATGCTTTGCTTTCAGATTCTTCCCCATGCCTCCGGAGGGCATGACCTCCTCCCCCAACCCAAAGAGGGCAGAGCCTTCCAGATGATGCAGCAATACCTTTCGCAGGAGCCTCATGGTTTTCTGGTTCTCCACCCTCAGCACGTTCTGGGAACTTGGTCTTTTTCTTCTTAGAATATGCTTCAACTAAAGAGGTTTTTAAAAGAGATTTTGCATTTACTATGTCAGCTACACCTAATGTGCCTTCCACGGCCAGGCCCCTTCCATCCACATTCTCACTCCCCAACCAACCCAGCACATGGGGTTTCTCCCCCCATCAGGGGGAAACGGAGTTGAGAGGTGAGGTCACTTGCCTGGACTGAGCCCAGGGTGGCCTGACCCCAAAGCTTACGCCCTTTGCCTTGCTTGGTTCAAAATGCAAGATCTAACATTTTATATCTCCCAAATCCTGTTTTTTTAACAAACCCGCAGCATAAGCTAGCCCCACACCTTCGGAAAGCTTCCGCTTCCTTTTCCCTGGACCGCGGTTTGTCGCGTTCTGGTCTACGGCTCCGTTCACGCCCCGGTCCTCTGCACGCTGGCCTTTGTTCTTCTTCCTCTGGCTCTTGTTCCCTGTGGGGCCCGTGGCCTCGGGGGCACCCTCCCCTCCAGCCTCCTGCTCGGCCTCCTGCCTCATTTTGCGCATTTTAGACTTCTGGCTCCTGGCCTTCTGGTGCTGGTTTTCTAATCTTAGCTCTTTCTTTTCTTTCTTCCTTTTCTTCTGCCGCTCTTCCTTCCTCTCCCTCTTACTCCTCTTCGCCTCTGCGTGTCCTTGCGTGGGGTCACTTGCTTTGGAAGGGGCCACCGTGGTGGAGATTTCTGCAGGTGGTTTTGCCACTTGGTTGAGTGGCTGTTGATTGTGCCCTTTATTGACTGGTTCCTTATTATTAAGCAAAACCAAGAAAGGCATAAGTATTCATTCGAGACACACCTAGCATTCACTGCCTGTATCTACTCGACACACAGTTTCACAAAAATGTTTCTTACCACTTTAGAACTGTGAGCCCCTAAAGTTAAAATGTAGCTGTAAATACACAAAATGAGAAGAACTCCCCCAGCCCACAGCCCCCTCTGCATTTAACAGAAATTTTCGTTCTGGAAAAGTGAAGGACCCTTACATCACTTCAGCCAGACCTTTAATGTCGGCTCACTATTCACTTTCTTTCAATAAAAGGAGAACTTAATGTGTAGCAGAAACTAGTAATTTATGTATCTGCAGACCTGGATTCAAGTTCCAGCTCTATCAGTTACTAGCCAAGTGATTAGGGCAAGTTATTTATCTGCTCCGGACCTGTCTCCTTGTCTGTACAATAAAAGGCAACAATCCTTTCCTCATACAATTGATGTGCGAATAAAATGAGAAAGGAAATGCCATGAGCTCAGCACAGAGAATGCTCGATGCACCAGCCTAATGTATGTGAACGGCTTTATAAATGACCAAGTACTAGACAGAGGCATAATCTCACCATCAGTCAGGTTAGATGGTTCCCCTGAGAAGTCGGGGACACGTGGACAGCGTAAAGAATCATGGCTAAGGAATCACGGAAAACTGACTACATGCACTGGGGTGAGAAGAAACTCCCACTTACTGCGCTCCTGTATTCAAATCAGCACATGGATCCTATTTTTAAAATGACTCAGCACAGCTAGTCCCATTGCCTGACTTGAAATGTGTGGAAATCTCTACACCAGCCCTGCCGACAAGCTGGTGCAGAGCCATCTATTGAACTGCCGTGACCTTGAGGTGCCTGGCAGGCAGGGAGAGGGCCAGTGGCAGCAGCCCTGGGAAATCACTGGATTTATGCACTCAAAGACCTGACCCAGGTTCCATCTCTGTAAGTTACTTGCCAGCTGACACACAAGTCACCTCCATTCTTAACCCTCTGGAGACTGGGTCACAAGAAGGGAGCTACTACCCCCAAGTCAGACCAAATAAAGAAGGACTGGCTTTAACTCAAGTACAAGAACACACAAAGTCACACCTTCCTCTGACATCGATGCCCAACTCTGGCAGAAAGAGTAGCATTTAGGAAAAGAATGTTAACAAAAATGAGAGTTTTCTCAGTAGCAGTTCAGGGAAATAAAGTACATAACCCAGGCCCATTTGGGGGAGGGGGCAGAGAATGAGTTCAGAAATGGACCCAGGAGGAAGAAGGGGGCAAAGAAGCTTCCCATCTAGCCTCTAGTTTTGAGTATTGGTTACTATTATAACCACCAAGGGCCACAGACCTCAGCCCGCTGCCCACCAATTCAGACCAGGTCTCTAGCTGGTGCCTTGCCTCCACATCCAAACCCACAGAGGGGAAGGAGGGAGGGAGGCAGGCAGGAGACACTTCACCCCACCTAGCAGCCACTCAACAGTGACTGGTCAATTCAGTCCCCATCTTTCTACCTCATTCCAGGCTCTCCTCCAATGTGGACTCCTTAGCACCATACTCACTGACTCTTACCTAACAGAGCACCCTCGTTTGCTCTCTGCCCCTCCTCCTGCCTTCTATTTCTTCCTAGCACTTATCACGACCTGATATCATAGCACAAACCCACACACACAGCTGTCTGTCTCCCCCACTAGAATACAGCTGCATGAGGTCAGGACTTGGCCTGACAGATGCAACCAGTGACCAGGTGCTAGTTGTGCTGGACATAGAAAGTATCACAGTAGAGGAGAGAAGGCTGCCAACCTAATGTCCAGCACACAGTAAAGGGAGGGATAAAACTGCAGGCATGAACAAACAGGGCCTCAGGAACCTCTGTTTTGCACCAAACACTGGGATGTGCTGTGAAGTTCACAGGGCAAAGGCAAAGCAATAACAAGCTCAGGGTTTGCCATGAACTGCTGCTTGATAAATATTTAATTCCTAGTATGCTCACAGCTTCAAAAGGAAATCAGGAAAAACTTTTTAAAAAGCTGCAATTGAACTAAATCATTTCAAATCTTTGATTCTTAGTAAAAAGTAATGAAAATAACCTTTAAAAAACAGGTGCCACATAAAGGCCAATTAAATGATAAGTTTTCAAAGGCCCAAATTGTATATTTTGAGACAAAATATACTGCCAAGATAAAGTTTCATTTTTATTTCGATTTTCTGCCCAAACTATTCTCTCTATATAAAGCGAATCAAGTCCTGACAATGTGACCAGAAAAAAAGACCAGCCAGACCCACTGGTTTTTTTTAAACTAGTAACGATATACTTCACTTTGGCAGCACATATGCTAAAATTGGAACCATACAGAGATGAGCATGGCTCCTGTGCAACGATGACACGAAAATTCGTGAAGCGTTTCACATTTAAAAAACAAAATTAATGTTACAAGTCTCCGAATGGGATGTAAACTCCAAATAGGAAGTACAACTGAATTAATGTGCAAAAAATCAAATGAACAATGTAACCAACAATGTGGCTACATGACATGAAACCAAAACTCTGCATGTGTATCCACATCTGGGAATTCCCATATCAAACCTTTTTGACTGACAGGCAGCTGACTGAATTAATCCCGTGTAATTCTCCCTCCACTGGAAGGAAAGAGACTACACTTACTGAGTGCCCACTATAAGTTGGGCATAAGGTGGGAGGCTTTTGTACTCTCATCTATTTTAAAACTGTAGCATGTTAGGGGCCAGGACCCCTTATCTAAAAGACCCCCTAGTCACTCTGTGTCCTCACGTTTATTTTCCTTCATGGCACCATCACCACCTGAGCTATTTCATAGTTTTGTTCACTGCCTGGCACAGATCAGGCACCCGGTAAGTACTGAATGACTGAATGAATGAATATGACGATCCATTTGTTAAAGAAAAGGAAACTGAGGCTCAGAGGCTAAATAGCGTGCCCAGGATCAAACATCTGGCAGAGAGCAGTAGGGATTCAATCCAGATCTGTCACATTCCCAAAGCTCCTGTTCCTTCCAACTTTCTCACTCCGCTGCTTGATTTCTAAGCAAATCATTCCATGTTAGCTGCTACCATTATCAAACATTGGGAGTAAGTACCTTTCTGTGCACAATAAGGAACTCTTCTCTGCAAGGCATTCAGTTTATTCCTTCCCATAAATGAAGGCCCAAAGAGGCTCTCTGAAAAAGAAGGCTGTCTTGACCTCCAAAAATAAGGCATTCCCACTGCATCATCACTAAGCATTCTTGCCACATTACACATCTAAAGTCAGACCTGACTTACGTTGCTGGAAGCTTCAGAAAAGATACTCCACACCTGCTCCAGAATCGATTCATTATAAACTTTTAAACTGTTCTTCATCCAATTCTGTAAGGAAGAAAAAGAAAAAACATCCCATTTGACAGGTACACACAAGCTGTCACTGATGGGCCCACATCCCCACAGTCAGGGAAGCCATCAAATACATACCTGAAATTTTGCCTTTTTCCTGGGAATGTTGTCAAAACCACTAATTTGTTCTAAAAGTTCTCTCACTTTGGGGCTGACATTGGGTCTTTTTATTAATTCATTTACTTTCTACAAAAAAGGAAAACAAAACAAAAATAATAAACAACTGACACATGTGTTTCATGCAGCCAGGACTACAGAGTTCACATGTCAAGTCCAGGTTTCATGTTAATGTCTATGTTTACAGATTCAACACAGTACCAAAGTCCTGACCAGAGCAATTCGGCAAGAAGAAGAAATAAATGGCATCGAATGGGAAAGAAAGAAGGAAAATTATCTCTGCTCACAGCCAACATGGTCTTGTACGTGGAACACCCTAAAGATTCCACAAAAAGAACCTTTAGAACCAATAAACACATTCAGCAGAGCTGCAGGATTGCACTCAAAAAATCAACTAACAATCTGAAAAGGCAATTAAAACAATTCCATTTACAATAGCATGAAAAGTTTTCATGCTTAACCAAGGAGTTTATGAAAGACTTATCTACTAAAAACTACAAAACATTGCTGAAAGAAAGACACAAATAAATGGAAATGTTCATGGACTGGAAGATTTATTAATATGTCAATGCCACCCAAGTGATCTACAGATTCAAATGCAATCCCTGTCAACGTCCACCTGACTTTTTTTTTTTTTGCAGAAATAGAAGACAGACTCTATCCTAGTATCACATGGACTCTCAAGGGACACCAAATAGCCAAAACAATCCTGAAAAAGAAGAACAATGGTGGAGGCCTCACCTTTGATTTCAAAGCTTACTACAGAAAAGCAGAGTAATGAGAACAGCATGGAACTGGCATAGAGACATGTAGACCAACAGAATAGAGCCCAGCAATAAACCTCTGCATAGATGCTGACGAGGGTGTCAATAGCATTCAATTGGAAAAGAACAACAAATGGAGAATGTAATTAATTGGAGATTTAAATGGTTAAAATGCTAAACTTTAGATCATGTATAATTCACCCACAACTTTTAAAAATGGGGAGGGGGGTGTAAACAAACCAAAAGTGATCAAAAGAATCACATAAAGTGGTTACTACAAAATACAGGCAAAAGGAACTAGGCAGTAAATTGAGGACCAAGACAAAAGCATTAAAATCTAATAAATAAATTTGAAAATAACAAGAACAGAACAGAGATGAAAATTAAATTTGTGTCCTAAAGAAAATGCTTACGGCAATCACAGTGAAGGCAGAGGGAAAAGGCAGGGAAATGACAGTGTACAGGAAAGACGGGCACCAGTGAGCCCATAGTCAAGACTTCCACCCAGCGTCTGTGGTGCCACGCTTGCAGTGGGAATGTAGCCACAGACGTGTAAACAGATGGGCCTGGCTGTGTTCCAGTACAATTTTACTCACAGAGGTGTAGGACCTGTGGGCCAGTGAGCCAGCCCCTGCTTGAGCGATGGCATTCACAATGTGATGACAGCGGGGATGGAGCTCATGCACAGGTTCCTCAAGCTTGGGGGCCTAGGAATGTCATCTGCTTCTTGGGGGATTACAGATTTAGTACCCAAGGCGTGGCTTGGTAGTTGGCAGCCTAAATATCTTAGGGGTTTCACGAGCTCCTCAGTCCACTGGGCAAACTCTGTTAGTCCTTTGAGAACAGAAGACTTTCCTTCTCAGGAGTTTGCAGCTCAGTTAGCTGGTCAGTATTGGAAAACTCACGTTCAAACTCTATCACGGACGAAGTAACTAGATGACATTTGTCTCCCATCTTCCTACCTTCCTTTCTGAGTCCTGCCTCCTATTCTGTAAAAGGTGAGCAATATTCTGGGAGGTACGCCTCTCAGTGAATTAGGGATTTCATTGCTTTGTCATTTTTATTGTGCATGTTTTCATTTTATTTAAGTAGAAAATTCTTCATATTTATGAAAATGTCTTTATTTTACCCAATTCTGATGACCAACAGCCATGATGGATTAACATGGTTTGAATCCTAAAGGCTGTATTATCACTGGAGCAGACAACAGGTAAGAAAGCTTCAGGGCCAAGAGGAAGCTAGTGAGAATTCTAAAATATTTCTGCAAGAAATCTACAAAACACATGGATTAGAGATAAAACACACTACAGCTATTAACAGAAATCAAGAACTCTTTTTCAAGCTTTAGTTGCTCAACCTTGGTTTCCCCTGAGACGTGCTGCCTCTGGGTCTTGTCTGCTTGGACGGTGGAGGGCAGATGTCAGATGAAGCTGCGGGGCAAAGGAGACTTACCTGAAGCCACGCCTGCTGCTTGAGGTCGCCTCTGTGGGCCTTCCCTTCGTAGCCTTTGCCGCCATACTTCTGGTTTTCACTTATACACTTCACATGGTTTTTATAATCCTCGCCCCTGTGAAGACAGAGGCCCTGCCACTGAACGGACTCTCAGGCTGGAGGCTGTCTAACATCAGTGCACTGCTCCTGCCATCACAGCCCACGCAATGTCATTGCACACCTGCCCGCTGCCCACACCTCCACCGCACCCCCACACACGCACCCCCACCTATTTCATTACTGTGCTCACGTCCTACTGCATAACCACATTTTCCTTCCTCCAAACTGTTCAATGTGAAACCACTACCAAACTTTCCACCCATTTTTGATGTCCAAATGCCTTCAACCAAATTGATAAGCAGTGTTTGTTTTTAGTTATAAGCAACCATACACTGAATAAAAAACTCTCTGCAATAGGTGCCTTTACGGGAAGTTACAAAATCTGCAAGATTTCCTGGTAACATAGGAGGCAATCAATAATTAGTTGTAGAATAAGTTAAAAGCTGGTATAAAATGGTGGTACCGGGACGAATACAATATTATATATCAGTATACCTCAATAAAAATAAATAATAAGCCCGGCCGGGCGTGGCTCAGTGGTTGAGCATCAACCTAGGATCCAAGAGATCGGGGTTCGATTCCCAGTCAGGGCACATGCCCGGGCTGTGGGCTAGGCAGCCGATCAATGACTCTCTCATCATTGATGTTGCCATCTCTCTCCCCCTGCTTTTCTCTCTCTGAAATCAATAAAGATATGTTTTTTTAAAAATAAATAAATAAATAAAAAATTAAAGTTATGCCCAGTTGGTGTGGCCAGTGGTTGAGCACCAACCTATGATCCAGGTGATCGAGGTCCGATTCTGGATCAGGGCACATGCCCGGGTTGTAGGCTCGATCCCTAGTAGCGGGTGCGCAGGAGGCAGCTGAGTAATGACAACTCTCTCATCACTGATGTTTTCATCTCTCTCTCCCTCTCCTTTCCTCTCCCTGAAATCAACAGATATATTTAAAGAAAAAAAAAATTGAAGTCATGAGGGTGTAGCATACAGCATGAAGACGGTAGTTAATGACACTGTGCTACACATTTGAAAGTGGCTAAGGAAGTAGATCTTAAAAGTCCTCATCACAAGAAAAAAACTTTTTTTGTATCTATGTAGGTGGGATGGATGTTAACTAGATTTACTGTTAACATTTTGCAATATATACAAATACTGAATCATAATGGTTGTACACCTGAAGCAAATATAATGTTATATGTCAGTTATACTTTAATAAAAATATATATATATTTTTAAATTGGTTGTTATCAGGTCACTAAAATGTTCTGGATCTCAGAGTCCTGGGAAAAAGGAAAATCAGTTCTATCTCAGTCTCTCTGACGCAGGCAAGGTCAGGAGAAAGAACCCAGTGCCGCTGGTCTTATACATCAAGCTTCCTTCTAGGATTAGGTATGAACGCAGACTTTAGTAGCTTCCAAAATTTTAAATATCACTTCCTTAGAATAAAATTAAAACAGGCTATTAGCAAACATCTCCCAAATGCTGCAGAGGACAGTGGGCACGTGCGCCAAAGCCGCCTTTCCACTGGCGCCTCTGAGGCTAAAGGCGAGTGTGAAGACGGAGGACAGGATGTTAGCCAGCTACGGACGACCTTCCTAGAAAGGCAGCGGGCAAACACTCAAGGTCTGTCCTGCGCCTCCTCAAGGCCCTCACCTTTCCAGAGACCCCTCACCCCCCCAGCAGAAGGGCCTGACACACTCACAGAGCAGGAGCTCTACCCAGCATCACCTCTGATTTCCTGGGAACGACCGGAGCCCTCCCTCAGACACCCTCACTGGGAATAGTACACTCGTGGTCTGGCTTATGGACCCACTCTTCCGTGTGATCAGCACGCCATACCCTGAAGCTTTACTCCGTGGTCCCGTCCCAGGGTTTGGGAATGGTGGCAACGCAGCGGCAGCAAGTGGCGCTACTGACCAGACACTCCAGTTGCCGCAGTCCCCTTCCTTCAGTCTTCTTTTTAAATCGTCCATACAAGGCAAACAGTCTTGTGACCCACGTTTAATTTTTTTTCTTAATTCCTTTCCTCAAACTTGGCTCTATTTTTCAAAGCTCTGTGGAAACCATGCTCCCCACACTGGCCTGGACCTTTACTGCAGATCCACATGAGTCATGTGGAACTTACCAGAAGTCTTTACCACAGTCAATGCAAGATAGGCACTCGCAGCTCCTGCAAATAGCCACATGTTTCTCCACTTGTACTTTCTTCACTGATTCACCACATGCATTGCATGTAAAAAATACCATTTTAGCTAAATGATTAAATATTCTCTATCCAAGATAGGCTTGAAGTCGTCCTAAAAAAATTTAAAATAAAGGAAAAAAAGATAATTATCATTGTAATCTGTCCCATCAATAAAGAAATGGAACCACTGCAGCTGTCCTAACTGCTGGGTGCTGAATCACTGGAGGGCGGTCACAGACCCAGGTTTCCCCAGCCCTGTCAACCTACGTACATCTGCACAAATAACCACTTAAAACTTCATGGAGCTGCTACTGTGCTCAAAAACACACAAATCCGTCTAAAGTGTGACAGAAGTCACAGTAATTTTCCATGCTGATGCAATTTTTAATCACTAGATTCTTAGAGTACTGTCTTGTATTGTAAGCTTCACAGCAAAACTACTGAGAAGTGTTGGACCCGGGCATTCTTGCTCACTGTGAAAATGAAGGTAAGCGTCAAGCAGACGGGTGCGGTGTGCTTCGGGGTAAGACTTCATCCCGAATCCTTCAGCACAAATGCACAACTCTCGGTTCCCAGAGCCTGCTCATGCGTGCAACCACTAACTTCCACGGCCACGTGGAGGTCACTGCCGGAGGTCACACCTGAGCGGGGATCGGGGCTGCTCCTGCCCACTCGGCCTTGAATGGAAATGTCCATCCTGGCTGCAGCTAAAGGCTTTACAAAGGCCCAGCAGATCTCCCAGGCAGGCTCTGGCTCTTCAGGGCACTGCCGACATCAGCTTGTCTGACAGGCCACATACAAATGGGGGCCCTGGCCCCGGGTCTCCCCTCCTCAGCTCGCTGCCCGGGTCGACGAGTGAGAGAGAGCACGTGGTCAGCTCCGGCCTTGCACCGAATCCAGAGGAAAGCACCGTGACTGCCTGTTCTGGGGTGTGCAGCAGCCACACCACCTTCTCATCAGTTATGGTGAAGATGGATGAAACAGTGCAAGTCTTGGGAGCTGGCATCACGTGGACTATGACCCAGCTCCCTCCAAGCTTAGCATTCTGCACGCAGCAGACGGAAGCTCAGTTAATGACCGGTGACAAGGACAGTGGCCGCCCTGCCTCTCAGGGAGAACAAAGGCTGGAACAAAGCCAGCGCAGTATCAAATAAACAGTCTGTAAGGGCACTTTGGTGGAAGAACAAGATCAGACCACCAACTCGCCACCAAGAAAGAGACGGCCATTACACACACCAGGCAGAAGCAGCTACGACAAGCACTCATCTGCTGAAAAATGCTTAAGTACTTTCATAATGAAATTCAACAGCGAAAAATACCCCTCGAAGTAAAGCCATGGCCACGAGTCTTCTGACCTTCCCTGTCGATCTGTTTCCTGATGGAGGGGGAGGGGGGAGGGGAGGAGGCTTCGGCAAGCTTTGAGATCCCATTGGAAGGCTTGGTCTGTCATCAAGGAAGGTCTGGAATTAAAGGCCTGGGAAGGGCAGGTGGAAACAAAACGAATGGACTGAAAGAAGTCAGTAATGTTGACAAAAAAGATGCTGGGAATATCTGTGCAGAACGTCATCCCTCTGGGGATGAGCCACATGTAGCGTAAACATCAGCTCAGGAGAGGATTAGAGTCTGATCACATGTCCACCGGAAAAGCACCTCCGACCTTTCCTCTGGTCTTATACTGCAAAGATGCACATTTGGAAATGTGTCCATTTCTTTTCTAGGCAGAATGGGTAGCTTGCACAGTGAGTCAGACCATCACTGCATTTTTTCTCTTGATGGAAATGGGAACAGTGTGCTGCCTGCTTGCTAATGAGATAAATGAGGCCCGTGAGCTTACCCCTCACTTACTCAGAGCCCAGAGGACGTCCCAGCACCAGGGAGGGTCACCTTGATCAGGCCTCACACCTGACCTAGCCCCCTGGGAAACACCTGCCATTTATGCAGGAAACAGCTAGGTGTGTGTCTGTATGGGGGGGGTGGGCTGCAAAGAACAGCAAGCTGAAAACATCCTAACCACACAGCAGACAGGAGTCCCAAGTCCCAGTGCAGGCTTAACAAGTTCAGAAGTGCAAATGCGACAAACTTACAAAAATACACCACGTGAAAAGTCAGTCCCTCCAACTGAAGATAGCAAGCATTGCCTAAAACAAAAAATTAAACTTATTAACATTTCACAAGGCTAAATAAATGTGAGAAAAATTTAAATAAACTTTCAGATGATCTTTTGGTAAATTTGTAACAGGAATTAGGAGAGCTGAAAACATGCCCCATGGAGACTTCCAGGACACCATCTGCTGGGATCGGATGTCATACATTTCAGTGCTTAGCCACAAGTGTGAAAAGATGGCTTTCTTTACGGGGCTGAACCTGAATCAGAGGCCCCTTTTCCTTCCCTGGCTCCTCACTCCGTGCCTGAGGCTGGGTCCCAGTCCAACCACAGAGATTGTGTGTGTCCTTCCTTCTGGGGATGTGGGCATGTACAAGAGCAAGGCAAGCAGAAAGCAAGGTGTGTGGACTGGCTGAGAGCACACGTGGGTTCTCGCCAAGGTACGTCACTGTATTTCAATTCAGCAGACATCTACTAACTGCCAGGTGTGCACTGGGATCCATACATACCCAGGGGTCCTCCCCCAAAGCAGACCAGGCCCTCTGTGTGAGCTTCCGGCTGTCTATGCATTGTCTGGTCAATTTACTGAGTTCTCATCACATGCCACAGCCCAAGAAAAGAGTGACGAATGACAGAACATGGCCATTAGCTCTCCACAAAGCCATTTCCCATGTACCATCACAACCACACCAACGCCTCCAGAAGAGGCAAGATTACACCACCTCCCAGACTCAGCGAGGTTAAGTGATCCGCCTGGGGGCACACTGCACGGTAGGGGCATCCAGAGCCCCTGCCCTGACTCTCTATCTTGACTTGGCCATTACTTGGCACCTGGGATCTTCAGACCCTCTTCCACAAAAACTCAAAGGCTCTGCAAATGACCTTCCATTTTAAAATATGAGACCCCAGGTCTTAATTCTAAGGCCAGCCCACACTGAGCAAAGCCACCTGTGTCACAGCAGAGGAGGTCGGGTGTCGGAAAATGGTGCTGAGTTGAGGGGCAGAGGCAGACTCAGCAAGGGGCTGGGGACTGAGGAACTTATCACCATGGGAGCCATGTTCTGCTGAGCAGGAGCCTGCATCTGCCAATTAAAAACGAAATGACTGCAACGTACCCTAACTTGAATCTACTTACCTATAAAATCTTAGAGCACTGTACAGAAAGTTAAATAAGACACCAGATATGAAAGGTTCATCCTCACCCAATGGTAGGATTTCCTGTGACCTGCTCATCGGCATGTCAGTGCTGTTATACCCAGTCCCCACCTAAACCATGCTTCTCTAAACATCTCCTTCAGCCCACCCACCTGTCCTCACGAATTCACTCGTCTCCTCGGGCTCCCCACCCGCGGGTGCTACTCTACTACCCTGCTCCCTGATAGCATGACCTCAGGTTTAGTTCTGGGGTTGGGATTTGGAGTGACTTTTCACCTTCCTCTCTCTACATTTCTGTATCATTTTTTACAAAAACTACATTCACTATTCTTAAAACATTCTCTCACACACATATACACGCAGACCTGAACCCCATCGCCACCGAAAGCCAGGTGAGCAACCTCGGCACTGTCCCGGTGAGCACTATCACCTCCAGCTGGTCACTGTTCCCGCTGAACCTCGAGTTCTCCCATCTGTGAAACGAGACCTGCCCTGAGCCCCTTTCAGAGGCAGAATTTCAAGAAACCACGGGTATGGTACCAGAGAAGACCAGACGGGCAGGCACTGCCCACCGCCCGGCCTGAACCCCTGAATGTGGGGGTGCCGGAGTCTCCATGTGCATTCAGCCAGGTGACCTCTCCCTTGCTCTTTGCAAAAGCCCAAGAGGAGCAAAGTGGGGCCGGGAGAAGTTCACCCTGCCTCGCCCGCTCCCTACGCACCACAGGCCCAGCATCCTCCTGAATTCACAGCACCCGGGACGTCTACAGTCTACCGCCGTGGGGCTCTGCGCCAGCGCGGGGTGCGGGGGCGCTGCGTGGACAAGCCCGGGGGGCCTCTCTGCAGGAAGGCCAGCCTACAAGCCCCCCCGGCCTGTCTCCTCGGAGGTCAGGGCTGCACAACATCCCGACGCCCGTGGGGCACCTACTGTGCGCCGAGCCCCGGCGGGGGTGCTAACGCGGGCGCCCATGTGATGCTCGCCAGTCCGGAGGCAGGTTCTGTGTTCCTCCCTCTCGACAGAGGAGGACACCGAGGCCCAAAGAGGCTGAGCAGCCCGCAGCGGGTCGAGGCCCAGCTGCTCGGGCCCCAGCGCCCCGAGGCCCGCCCTGTACCGACTGAGACCCGCACGGATCTCCTCCCCCCGGCGAGGGGCCGAGGGCCTGAGGGTGGAAACGCGGCCGCCCCGCCCCGCGGCTCTCGGGGCCCAGCCTCCTAGGACGGACCTC